ATGTATCAAACGCCTTCTCATAGTCAAGGAAGTTGTTGTATAGTGTCGAACATCATTAGATCAATTGCTCGACAATGATCCATAGTGTGGCGACTTCGTCTGTGCACGACTGATCCTTACGGAATCCGGTTTGTTGATCTCGAACCTGTGTATCTGTTCAATCTTTCACCAGGGTCAGCAATCCTCTGTTGTAAACATTTCCTAGTACCGATAGCAGACCTCATGGCGATGCTTATTGCGGCCCAGAACCTGTTACGTTGAATTTAGTGCTTCTTTGATCCCTTTCCGCCCTCATAGTAATTTGGGAAAAAGACGACACTTATCTGCTCTCAGCGTAGACGCTTAGAACGATGGGCGGAGCACTTTGAGGAGCAGTTTAACTGGCTTTAGTTACTCTACGACTACCCACCATTCCCAAACAGTCTGAATGGAACATTGAAGTAGCCCCCTGGACTCTAATTGAAGTTCAAAAGGCTATAGTTAATCTGGAGCGAGGAAGAGCAGCTGGTCCAGATGGATTGGCTCCAGAGGTCTTCAAGTATAGTGGTCCAGCTTTAGCGATTAGGTTGATCAATATTTCAAAAAGACCTGGGAGTTGGACGTAATTTCATCTGACTGGTCGCAATTACTGATTGTCCTGATATATAAAAAGGGGTCGAAACCATCCTGTGATAACCATAGAGGGATTATTTTGACTGACGTAGCATCTTAATTACTGGCCTCGATAATTATCGGGGGTCTAACAAAGACATGTGAACTGCAAACACGAGAAACTCAGCCTGGATTCAGACGTGGTCGTGGCTGCGTCGACCACATATTTACCATTCGTCAGGTTCTAGAACACAGGCATACTTATCGGCGTGCGACAATGGTGGTTTTTCTTGACTGAAAGACAGCATTTGATTCCGTAGATCGCAAGATCCTGTGGCAGTGTTTGTCATTGAAAGGCGTACCTCAGAAGTACATAAACCTTGTGAAGGCTCTTTACTCGAATACTACCAGTCGAGTCAGAGCCTATGGTGAACTGTAATCTGATTTCTCAACCACAAGTGGTGTCCGAAAAGGCAGACCACTTTCTCCATTTTTGTTTGACTTCATCATCGACCTACTGATGGAAATAACGTTCTCGTCGTCTGAATTTTCAGGCATTGGTCTCCTACGAGGAGGTCCACTTATCGACTTAGAATACGCAGATGACATTGTTCTGTTTGTTGAGGACGCTGATAAAATGCAGTCTTTTGGTAGAATTGAGCAACAATGCCAGAATGTTTGGGATGCGTTTCCCCCTTCGAAATGTTCATAGAGCTCTCGCGATTATCGTAATTAATGTTTGGAAACGTGTTGCACCGCTCAAAATCGATTCCAATGGCACAGTCGTATTCAACTCTTGCCTTCCGTTAGATTTTGATTTATGAAACTAAGTAATACTATAGTGAACAGAACACCAGTGGAGACAATCGAATGTATTTGACACAATTACAGGACTTGGTAATGAAATCTAACAATCATACAGTAAATGCTTAATTAGCAAAATGTCCATCAGTTGTCTCAAATTGACTCAAACTTCATTGGTCCTGCATTTTCGTACAAATTGCATTGTTTCCATTCTTTACTGTTCGACCCTCTTGTCTTTTTGCTGCCAGACATTCTGTTCCCAACGTCATATGCTACTTATGTTGATATAAGTAGCACACATCACAATACTTCTTATTTCACATATTCATTATTTCCGAATCATCCCTCTATCTTGTCCTGTCTGCTGTCGATATTGTTACTAATTCTACTACTCTGGCATTTGTCTTTGTAATTTTGTACTGCTGCACTAGTGCGATGTGATCACCGACGAACATATGTCCCAGGTTGTTTTGCTTATGACTCATTGACGATCTGCGTTACTTAGATCACCGTACGAAAGTAAATACTACTCGTTGTTATGCTGGAACTAGAATAACGTTCACGTTTTTATCACCATAACATATAATTCATTTCAATTCTAGGAATGCTTACTGTGTTTCTCTAACTATTTTAGGACCAGCCAGGTAATCATACTTGCGGGTACTGTGGTTTGCGATTTTACCTAGACAAAAAAAGCCACTGAAACCTACGGCAACCACGATTTACAACAGAAAAATATCCTACTTTGTGTGTTATGACATCATGTTTTGATGAATATCCTTGTGCTTTTAGAAGCTTGTGAAGTGTTACTGAAAATAGCTTACAATCAAATACAGTATATATTCTTCCCTACTATGGATTTTGGCCGAGCAGTCTGAAGTACTGTTTAGTTTTACAAGATGGTGTGTCTGAAAGACGTCGCCAACCGCTGTAAAGGTAATGGACGTAACATATATAATCTGTATGATGCCTTTAACTCATGCATTAATCATGGTATGGTGAGCGTTACTAACCCAATACTTTAAAATATAGCCGTCGTATGTGTAATTTAGCTCGTTGTTGCATGTTTAGAAGTCATGAAAAATAACTGAGCTTTTGGCTATAAAAGCGCAGACCCCATTCTTTAATGCTCTGGATGAACGTTAAGAACAGCGTATCAAAACAATCGGTTATGTATGGTCGAAAGACTCAATAATGCCACAAAAGCTCCATACAAGTGTTTTGCCACTCACTTCTATTAAGTAGGATTCTTCGGTAAGAGATATTGTCGAATCGAGTTCCAGAGTTAATACCCGTACTTGACTATTCAATCTAGAGACAACATTAAGGCTTGCATACTAGCATATAAACCTCTTTTGTGAAGGTTAATGGCAAAATAACTAAGATTCTTTTTCCATGCAGATCCAAAGTTGTATGAACAACTGTCACGTAAATGCTAGTAGATTAACCCTTTAAGGCTTTGATAGGAATTTGAATAACCAGACTAGCTGAAAACAACACTACAATTTTATCTAATCAATTATAGAAGGTCCGTGACCATTAACTAACGAACAGATTAGCGTAACCACAACATTTGTATACTTTATTTCCTCATGAAACTAAATCGAACATGATTATTTGACAATTAGTTATCACTGGTACGGAGGAGTCCTGTTAATATAGCTTTGATCGTACATTATAAAACCTTGATATTTGCAAGCTCTTTAAAAGGATTATTCTTATAGAAAAGCTTACAGATTCATGGGTTGCGTAGTGTTTAAATCTCGACCTACTGTCAGTCAGTCAGCTGCAACGTAGGACCAGGCACATGTATGCATCGGCTCAGGTTGCCATACCTCATTAGCACAGCAAGATGAACACCGGATTCATAGGAGTGGTTAGGTCAAAGGTGGTAATATATAGGAGAAAGATTGCAATAAGGATATAGTACAGGAACAAAGAATTAGTTCGTAGAAAGAAAGATGTGAAGTGATCTTAATCTCTTAGCTTAAGAGAAGACAGAGAGTGTATACACCGACGCCATTGTGATCGATTCTGAGCCATGTCACCAAGGGTCTCCAACCATTGGTTACGAAAGTCACGCGGACCCCAACCAAGTAGTCTGCATCTACCAACATGGCTCAGACTAGAAGTTAGTGACTTCAGGCACTGATGCCACGTTTTGGTTTGGCCGCCCCTAACTTTCTTCCAACCATCCCCTACACCGGTTAGCATTGCACGTCGCGGTAATCGGTGTTCAGGCATACGTAATACGTGGCCCAACCATCTCAGTCGATGAAGATTCATAACCTCATCAACTGATTTACCATCATTCCCTAATACCCTGCGTCTAACCTCACTATTACTTACCCGGTGATCCCAGCAGATGCCAGCAATATTTCTAAGGCATCTGTGATCAAATACTAGTAGCTTACGGGTGTCTTCTACTCTTAAGGGCCATGTCGACCTACTGTGAGAGCAGACATAAGCGTACACGAATTACTAGATCAAAAACAGTAATTTTCTTGCTTTTTGGTTCAGCAATTGAATATAGAAATCATAAAATGGAGAGGTAAACGCCACGGAAGCTAGTGAAGGCATTGTTAAGAGCAGACTAGTGAACAAAACTAATATCTCAATTAAAAATACTCCGGATGGTTGATATCGAATTTCCGAGTTTCAGAAACATCGGGATAGTAGCTTTCTTATCTACACTGTTGACACTAACTAGAATTTTGTATTGACAAACACATTGAAATAAACAATGAGCTATTGTGATGGGAAATACGTGTCATAGGACTTCCAGCACTACAGAAATTCAAATTTCTCTTATGGAAATAATCCAGCCTCAGAAGCCTAAGACGGAACCAAAATTAATGGCTAAATTCCTACTTAGTGGAAAGGTAAATGTGTATTTTACGTCTAAAATCAGAAACCTAGCTTGGAGCACTCTAGGTTTCAAAGCGTAAACAAGACCCATCATTCTACCGGTATGCATAGAAAATATCTTAGAATAATTGACGTCTTAAACTGGATTGTTTGTGTTTGTTTGGTCTACTGTTTACAAGTGCTACCAACCAATGTTTTCTTGAATATCAGCTAAGCTAGAAATTGTTAGTGATATCTCACCAATCTAACTTTTGAAAAGCCCCGTACACCATTTTTAATCAAAATGGGATTGACGAGGTTAACTACCAGTTCGTTCAATTAACTCGTTTTTGTGTTAATTGGTTTAAATTAAATCTTAACGAGATTAAAACTGATGTAGTTAGTATGTATCATTACCAAGGTTTGACTTGATAATTTTGAGTAAATTAAGTATTGGGTAGATTGTTGTTAATGAATATATTTATGATGTAGTTAGTGTTTGTGAGGTGTTTGCACTAACTCAAGATAAGTTCTATATTTCGCATGGAATTTTAAAGGAATAATTTTTCATGATACACCTAACTTTAGATACGATTTGGCGATGAATTCGGAAATATATGGCTGTAATCATAAATCTAATCTAGAACAACGACAAATTTATTTGTTGCTATTTTTCAGGGAGATATGAAAGCATGATTGGTACTCTTAAGGAACTAACTTATAAGCAAACAGAAATCACTTCCCAATAATAATTTATACACATTTTATTTCAATGAATATAATTCTATCTACTTATTTTATGTATAGTTGTCACAGAGTACGCTAAGAGTTCCGCATTGTATTAAACATTCAAAACTAGAAAGCCACTATCATCTTTATTCTGAAAATAACTTATAAATAGAAAGTATAAACTGTTTGGGTGATGTGATTTCTACAATAGAAAAAAAAAGAGTTTACAACGATAAACCGTAAACATAATTATCTCTACATCCAGTGATAATATATACATCATTTGAGTTTTCGGAATAAAGAACTGGAGATGAGAAACACTGGTTGGGTAGGTGGTAAGTCGACCATACAGCAGGAGCTTTTCGTCGGACAGATAGGCTCGAAGGTACTGAACACCCGTAAACCAAACCATCTGCTCTTGTTCCAATCAATAAACTGTGTCTATCGCTTTGCAATACAGAAGGTGTATTTAAGGAACATAGGTTTTTGGAGTTTGAATCAAATGTCCAGTCAAGCATCCATGCTAAATTGCCATTTACAACGTTCAAAGCGAATAAGAAGCCCTTATTAGTACTCAAATAACATTGTGAGACTGCGCATCAAGAACGGGGTCTGAAAATATTGCATGACCACTTAGTTCTTGAGAACATTCATAATTCCAATCAATATTTCCATCCACCAGAGAAAATGATTGAATTGTCCCACTAACTCCAGCTATAATAACATTAACCTTGTAGCTAGAGTCCGTATATAGAAGAGGTTTACTAAAACAGGCATTTTTCCATCTCTTATCCAAACCAAATGTGATGGATTTCTAGGATCTAAACAACCAACAGTTCCTCCAAGACTTGCAATAATAAGATATGGTGTGCTCGTTTGAGACATATCTGACACAATAACGGGAGAAACAATGGGTGTTCCATCAAAAGAATTAGTCCAAATAGGTTTCATATCGTTCAGAGAACGTAAGTCTATGGCGTGAACTAGTTTGCCATGGGAACCACATGCTAGAAATCTGTAATCATATACATACGATCCAGGAGACTTAACGGCGCCCCAGTGTAATATGAGCACAGAGAAGTTCCACACTCAATATCCAAACCATAAATACTCCCATCTAAGGACCCAACAACAAGTACAGCACTTGAACCTGCGAATCCAAGTGTGGAAGAGGCCTCGATACGACCTGGTAGTGACACTGTTGCGTTCGGCCATACTGTGTGGCCATTCGATACATACAAAGCAGAAACCGAACCGGAGTGACTTCCGATGAAAGCACACCCATTGGAAAACCCATGAACACCAGAAAGGACTAAAGGCGAAGCGTCTACACACTTATGCAGATTATGTTGCCACAAAAATTTAAATTGGGTTTGGGGTAATAAGTCAGGCAGCTTCAATACAGAACCATGTGTGTAAATATCAAATGGATGTTGGTAATTATGTTTAACAGTCACTTGGAATTCATTTTCAAATTTGCTTTGATAAACTTTTTTGGTTGAAATGGATTTTGAAAAACGTGTTTTGGACTTCATAGAAATAGAGCAACATCTTGAAATAAACTCACAAACACGGAAAAATGAATGCGCGAATATTAGTGATACAAGATTCTCCCTCTTATTGATCAAGACTGGAAATTCTTGGATTATTGTTTCAACTAGGTGCAATGCCATTAAAGAGGAACCACCGGCCTCCATAAATGTTGCATCCCAATGAGTTACAGTCGTTCTGCCTAACCCAAGAGACTCATTCCACATGGCAATAACTTTGTACTTGATGGACATTGAAGATTTAAAAACGTTATGTAGTCTATACATTAACTTTCCGTGTAATGAAATCGGTAGAGAGCGATTAGAAAATACAAAATGTGTGGGAATCCAGGGTTGATGGTTCGGAGCGAAAACCAACTTTAGTCTTTTAAGGATATGAGATTTAGTGTTTTTTGTGTAGCTGTAAGTTGGAAATACTGAAGGTCTTCTAGAAAATTTATGGGAATAAAGTTCAATTTCAATGAATGAAATGATGGAGTTTCGATTAGTTGATCTTTCAAAAACCTGACATCTACAGTTTCTGATCTTGACGCTTGGTGGCTTGCACGTTTTTATGACATGTTCTAAACGTTCTAGACAAATTTGGTATCCAAACCGTTTTATTGTACGGTCTTTTCTACCTAGAAACCATAAACACCTCCCACATTGACCGTAATGCACTAAATCAGAAGTAAGCCATGTAATCTGAGAATGTAGTTGTGAAAGAGCGTAGGAAAATTCCTGAATAGTAATCGTTGACTCTTTGGGACGTAATATGTAAAACCCACCATATTGACGGGATAGTCCCAATTCCCAAACATTTTCCATATTGGATGGTATTAGTGAGAAACTGGTTCCTAGCATCGGAAACCCAAGAGGTGTAGATCCAAGCAAAGGAGGCGAACATTCGCAGTGAATATCATTGTTGATACAATCTCTGTCAAATGAACTGACTTTAAACAAAGAGGCCCACGAGGAGACTTCTGTAGTACCATAGATATTATAAAGGATAGATTTGTGGTTTTTAAAACTCCTGAGATCATTTAAGGGGAATGGTTCTCCACCAAGTAAAACGTGGAAACTTGGTTGTGACAAAAACCTATTGAGGAGACGACGATCGAGCCCAGAGATTTGACTTGGAGTGCATTGCAGCCAACCAACTTTTGCGTTCATGCACAACGTGTATAAGCTTTTGGGTACATTGAGAATTGATGAGGGACATATAACTAAGGTACGACGGGTCAATAGTGCGAAGTAAATCTGTACAATACTCGGATCAAACGTCAAGGGTGAAGCTAGAAGAACACAATTAGCCTCAGAACCATGATGTTTCCCACTGGAGAACCGATTACCTAAGTCAATAACATTAGCTGTTAAGCAACTATCCGCCACACAAACTAGTTTTCGTTCTTTGCTGAAACTTCCAGACGTACTTAGTATGTATATAAGGTGTTTATTAGGTTCTATGAACGGACTTGGAAAAGGACTAAGGTGTGGGAAGAGCAGACTGGAACGTAAATATAAAGACCAGTCATTTCTTGAAAATAAACTATCAACTGTACTTGTGGAACTGTTTTTATACTTTAAGAAATCCTCAACAGGAATTAGTTCAGAAGAATTGCAAAGCAAAACAATGGCGTCAATGTGGTTTTTAAGCGTCACCAAGCCATAGGATGCCGATGCGCTAAGTACAGGGAAGAAAGGAAGTCCTGATTTGACAATCCCATGTATTACAACACTTGTCAGTATGTGTGGAGCCCAAACTACTGCAACAACTGATAATTTGCCTTCGCCAGGCTTGAAACTCAGGTGGTACTTGAGCAACTCTACCAATTCGTTCGAATAACTCTGGAACTTTTCGTACGTGAGGATTTCAACGCCACTGTCCCTGGAAGTTCCATTCCAAAACTCCACACAATTTTCATTAAGCTCCCAGTTTGGCGAAACGCAGTCCTTTAAATAACATGGCCAACATAAACTTAATCAATGAAAATAGAAACATTAGCTTACTTCATGCGATTAGAAAGCTACCTTGAGGACTCTGAGAAACCTTCCCAAACAAAGCAGAGCAGCAATACAATTTCGATCGATCCCAAATCCACACTGTTGACAATGCTGATTCCTGAACTGTTCCGTCACGCATTGACAAAATGTAACAATAAAAATCGGCGGATTTTAATATCTGAACTTTCAGGGCAATAATCCAGTCGTCAACAGTAATAAACTTGTATCAAAAATATAAGATTGTTTCTGTGGCAAGCTATTCAAAGACTTATTATCTGTTGTCAATTCTCTATGGAGTGAATAGCCAAATATTTAGGCTAATCAATTTGAGGACGAACTTCAATATTCACAATTTTGGTATTGGTGGACAATAATACAATTTAGATCTAGTTATGTACCATACCGCACGTCAGTCAATGAAGTCACTTGAACGTACATTGAAGAACAGTTGTATTCGAGTTTTTATTCTATCCATTAATAGTCTATCACCACGTCAAAGATAAAGAGCGCAACATAATTCTATGTATCACAAAACGCTAGGTAATCATAAGGCTTGATTAATCTCAAGAAGTGAAAAATGTGTTTACAATCCAACTTGTCACATTGCAATCCCTATGATGTTAGTTTTTAAGACAAATAAACATTTCAGAAGATTCCTATGGGTATTTATGATATTGAGGATCTTCACTAATATGGAGAATACAGATCCAGTATTTTCAGGTATTCCGCAAAAGATTTTAAATTAAAACCACTAGCTAACTTTGTAGCTCGTTTTTAGATATGCTACAAGACATTTATATATCTTTGGAGTGAAGGGGGAAGCACTGTTTCTATACTGAATGACGCTGATTGATAGTATTAAAAATTAGGTAAAAAGTCATGTTACCAAACCACCCTGAAATGCTCTTTGAATTCACAAGTTCAAGGTTGATTTTAAAGACACTTTCGATAAAGTTAAGAATTGATTTTAGATCGCAAGGAACTAAAACCATAAAATATTCTATTGATGACGCGTCTATTATAGAATCAATGGTGTTACACGTGTGGTTTGCAGCATGAAGCATATCACAACCCGTGCACACTAAGTGAATATGTTGATAATAGGTGGTTTACGTGGTTGCCAAAGTTTAGTGTCCTCATTGTTTTAAAGCGAATTATTTCAACTAGACGGTCAATCATCTGAGAGGAAACTTACATATAGATGGCTTTATAATCGCATCTTGACTACTCTTATCGACAAATTTTCAGTCTTCATATTATTTTCTAGAAGAAATTTTGGAAATATCAACTTGACGTCAAGTGGCCCTGGTGCCAAAGTAATATTGGTCACACCACTGAACACGAGTATGGCCGTTTCTCAATGAGACACTAATGCCTTTGTTTAACCAGTGCAAAGGAATGCAGAAGGTACTTTTATTATACTGTTTAACTCACTTACATGGCAATTTTCATATACGACGCTACGAGCATTCCTTTGACACACCTAGACAATCTTACCCTTAAATAAAAGTGCCTTCCGTTCAAGGGTTAATTAGGATAATATACAGCAGAGAATTTAGCATTCTGTAAAATAGCAGGAAGTCAATTAACTTCAAAATATTATTATTTTGATTTATTCGGCATTACAAATTAGCTGAACTTCACAACTTCTAATAGTTTCACATAAAGGTGACCATATAACTATCGGTTATAAACGCGGAAATATACCCAGACAACCAAAAAAGGGGGAAATAAAGGGGTAAATGCTTTGGTAGCGAAAGGGGAAAACGCTGTGTACCTGATTGTTTATTAACCAACGGACCAACCTTACCGTTGCCAAAAAAGCCGCGGACAGTCTCCAGCTGTAAACCGCGCCAGATCTCTGTCTGCATTCCGATTAGTCCATTGGTTCATTATTATTAGTTTCAATCTCTCACGATTTCATAATACTAAAAGTAACTGCTGCCTTCAAACTAACAAGTAGGAATAATATATTGTATATATATATATATATATATAACACTGCTAATTTCATAGCGTCACCCAGGTTCATTGGAATATTTATAGATTATGATGGATGTGTGAACACCACGGCTGCAATTAAACGCAACTAAATTTTGTAAGTGTGTCCTCTAGCTTAGCAACCAATCAGAATGGGGCGGGAATTATTACATCTGCCTTCTGTGTAAGCAATGGCGGTCGGCTTTCTTCGTTCTGTGCTTCTTTCAGCTATTTGTTTTGTGTAGCTATGTAATTTAATGTCTCATTGTGCTTAAATGCCGCAGTTAGTGTAATGTTCTATATGTTGGTGTGAAGTTTATTCCGAATCAGCAGTGTTTTCCGGGTTTTTGCTGCTTCTACTCAGGTCAATGTGTTTCTTCAGGCAATCTGGCTAGTCTTGTGTTATAAAATGTCGGCCGGCTTTCTTCAGAATTTAATGTTTCAGTGTGCTAAAGTCCAGAAGTTGGTGTAATACTCTAAACGTTGGAGCAAACTTTTTTCTGATTTTGCTTTGTTTTCTGGGTTTTACCTGCTGCTACTGAAGTCACTGTATTTATTCAGCTAAGCTGGCTAGTACTAACGTAAGACCTTACGTTTTTAAACGACAATCGGTTATGTTTTACCTTGTTCTCTAGATATCCAAAGCCGAAGTTCGTTTTTATTTAGCTAAAATAATTGTTGCTGCCGCCTGTGACTCTAACTGTTCGCATGTTCGTCCCTAACTGTCCTTTATGATGTTATTGGCAGAATGAATGGAAACAATCTGCGTTTTTTAATTTTCTTCAGTATTGTGGACAACACTATCCCACCAACGAGTCAAACTAATACAGAGTGCCAAGCAGTAGGGTATATCGGTATTGATTTCTAAAGGACCCAGACTTCCGACAACTATAGATAAAGTCACAGATGCTACCAATCTATTGCAGAGGGTTTGTTATGAAAAATATGCCATAAAGCAGTAATAGAGGGGTTGTACTAATTACGCAGTGCTTTAGAGCAAGCTTAACATTGAAAAGCCGGAAATCTGCTACTAGTGTGTAGTGTATGTTTGCTGTTTCGGCCATAAAAGGAAGCCGAAGGGTCATGATCAGGGAGTAAAACGGTAATTAACTGTTATTAAGCTCACTTTTTATAGATCATATTTCACCACTCGCAAATTTGTGTTTTTTTTACTGTATGATGTCAACTGGTACCTAATATGTTCACCCTTACGATGAAAAGTACCTGCAAATTTTCACCTTCATATTCGAATTATTTTTGGACAACTGTCTTACGGTCTGAGTGCTTCGTACGCCCCGAGGAACTCTATTTCTACAACATTCGTAGTTCCAGTATAACTTTCTCACGCAGTAAGTTCAAATTAGACACTAGTCTTTCTAAATAAGCCTGTTAAGCTAATATCCGTATTCTCTATTTCAGTTAATCGATGAAGACATGTACCACGTGCATCTGCTGTATACTGTCATTTTACTCCAATTCTAACTGTTATATCTTACTTTTGAATAATAAAATTGCTATGTGCAGCAAATACATACTTATTTGTTTTGATGGAGGTAAGGGGGTTCATGGGATTTTCAGCAGGACTGTATTAATATTCTCACTATAGAGCTACGCGAGTGCGTAAACCAGTATAAGGTATCATACGGGGTGCATTTTAGTTACTAGTGTTCCACTAGTGCGGGTAGGGGCATTGCTTGCTTGTCATATGGCATTTGAATAAGAAGCTATAAGATAAGGGGCAGGTGCAGTTAGGATGTGTAACGCGTGTCCATCCATCGGCTGCCGTGACAACCCATGGTGGTTAGAATAAGCTATGAAAGGACCCAAGTCTGTAGGTCTCCCAAGAAAGTGACGAAGAAATGTACCAAATCACCTTATGAAGAGCGCATACAATCACTTAACCTCTACTCATTAGAGTATATACGTCTTAGAGGTGACCTAATGGCTTACAATAACCTTAACACTTCTGGATATCCCCTAAAACACCTACTTAATTTTGGTCCCATAAACTAGAGACACAACATAGCAGAACGGACTGTAGACGCAACTTCTACTCCTTAGGAGTTGTCAAATGCTGGAATCCGCTGCCCGCCGAGCTAGTCCAAGCAACTTCCCAGGAGTCCTTTAAGAGGCAACTGGATTGTAGCGGTAAATAAATCCCTAAAATAAATAGCTCTGTAAGTTTTCGACATTGGATGCTGACCATATGTTTTAGTGGACTCATCTAGCTGAAGGCGCTCGGTCAGGCATCCGCACCAGATCACGTGTAGTAACGCCGTGCTCAACATCAACCACAATCGCTAGCCAGATTAGATCAGAGAATCCCGGTATATTGGTCATCGCCAAATATACTCTTCCGATCTCCTCGACTCTGTCTTTTGATTTCTCTTGGTGGGAACGAAATATCTTAGAAGGTGTTACTGGTAGAAGCGTTGTCAAACACTGAATACCTGTGACATCATCATTGGTGAGACCGTCGTGATCTGGTACACCTTATTGCAACTGTGAGTCTGTTCCTTTTTGGGATTTTTATATATCATTGCCTTATTTTTTATTTTTTTTAAACATTGTGATTTTTTTTCGTGTTTTTCTTGGATATATATATATATTTTCCCCTCGTTCATTATCGTACTTCATATTTCATCATGACTGAACAGACACCTAAAGTACTCAAGCTTAAGACCTTGTCCCCACCTTCGTTTCAACTGATGCCTTTCTGGCCCGACAACATCGAAGCCTGGTTTTGCTACGCAGAAGCCGACTTTTCCGAGCACGGCGTGATCGACACACGTGCACAATTCCTCGCAGTAGTCAAGGCACTGCCGCGGGAATTCAACAGGTACGTAACACCTAGTATGTTTACTAGTGATGTTTCCGATCCTTACGAAATCTTAAAACGCTCGATTCTTAAACGAGGAGACCTAACCGATCGACAAAGGTTAGATCAACTCTTCAACAATATCGACCTGCAACACGGTTCTGCGACGGACATGTTGCAACGGATGAGAGAGGTTATAGGCCCAAGAACTTTCGACGAAGGTCTATTCAAACAACTCTTCTTGTCAAAACTTCCCCAACAGGTGCAAGCAGTTCTGGTCTCGTTCCAGAACAACGCCTTAGACGAACTAGCTGTATCTGCCGACCGCATTCTAGAAATTACGAAACCTTCTACTACCGAGGTATTTTCAGTCAAAGAAAAGCCTCACACGACTCAGAATGACATAACCGACTTATGTCACACACTCACGCGTTATCTTAGTCTTCGTACCGACCGTAAGAGATCGCGCACACCACGTAGAAGCATTTCTCGTAAGCGATCTGTCTCTAGACCACGAGAGACAGATAACCCCGACTGGTGCTGGTATCATAACCAGTATGGAAAGTTTTCCAGAAATTGCAGAAAACCCTGCAATTTTCCCAACACGAAACCGACTGATTCGGGAAACTTCCAAGCCGGCACGCGTTAACGGCAACCGTAGCCGGCGAACAAAGCCGTCTGTTATTCGTCACAGATGTGACAACGAGAGTTCGCTACCTCGTCGACACTGGCGCAGAAGTTAGCGTTCTCCCAGCAAATCCTAACGACCGACTTCACGAATCGACCCTAAACTTACAGGCGGCAAACGGAAAACCGATCGCTACGTATGGCAAAAGGTACGTTTACCTTAACGTGGGTTTACGCAAACCCATCCACTGGATTTTCGTCGTTGCAGATGTTTCTATGCCAATCATTGGTATGGACCTTCTACAACACCACAATCTGATCATCGACACTCGCAAACGGAGGCTAGTAGACGGAAACACTAATTTGTCCGTTTGCGTAACTTCTTTTACTGGTTGTAGAGTATCCCCAGTCACAGTTAAACATATGATAGACCCACTCTATCAACCACTACTCGATAAGTACCCTGGGATACAACAAACTCAAACGAAACTACCGTGTGTAACCAGCAATGTTACACATCACATCACGACTACAGGACCACCTGTATTTTCTAAAGCACGACGACTAGCTCCTGAAAAGCTAAGGTTAGCGAAAAACGAATTCGATCACATGATGGACTTAGGAATCATACGACCGTCAAGTAGCCCATATGCATCTCCGTTGCACATGGTCCCTAAAAAGGACAGCAACGATTGGCGTCCAACTGGTGACTATCGGCGATTGAACGCGAAAACCATTCCCGATCGTTACCCGTTGCCTCACATTCACGATTTGACAGCTACCTTGAAAGGTACAACTGTCTTTTCGAAAATCGACTTGGTTAAAGCGTATAACCAAATCCCTATGGCTACTGACGACATACCGAAAACGGCTATCATAACTCCCTTCGGACTCTATGAATTTTTGCGAATGCCTTTCGGTCTAAGGAATGCTGCTCAAACATTCCAAAGATTCATAGACGACGTTTTTCGAGGTCTCAACTTCGTACACGCGTATGTTGACGACTGTCTAATCGCAAGTCCGGACAGAGAAACACATCTCAAGCATCTGGACCTTGTTTTCGAACGATTACAAAAACATGGCATAACTGTAAACGTTCAGAAATGCCAATTTGGAACCGACTCGTTAGACTTTCTGGGACACACTATCGATGCTCAAGGTATCCGACCCCTTAGAACCAAAGTGGCGGCCATTCTGGATTACCCAGAACCGACCACCGTCAAGCAATTACGCACGTTCAACGGCCTGGTAAGTTTCTATAGACGTTTCATACCCAGATGCGCATCACTTATGAAACCTCTGACCGACCAACTTCGTGGAAATGCGAAATCCATTAATTTGGACGACACCGCACGAAAAGCATTCTCCACAGTCAAGGAACTGATTGCTAAAGCAACAATGCTCGCACATCAGGACACCCGAGCACCCATTAGCATCGCAGTAGACGCATCCGACTCAGCAATCGGAGGAGTCTTACAACAATGGGTTAAC